TTGCATCTGTGTACGCGGTACATATACACATGTGTGTATAAATATATACAGAAAGCAACGTAGTAAGACCAACATATTTTTGTTAATATCTCGAAAACTATGACTTTTCGGCAATTCGGAACAACATCGTTGCAACCCCTCCAGGCATAAGATTTCGAACTAGGCATCATACGCCCTCGGTGAAATCGTAACTGGCGCGAGAAACTGATGAAGCAGACGAAAGGGATCATAGCAAGAGTGCGGCGTGTTTCGTCACCGATGGTCTGTTTGAGTCGTGCGGTTAGTTGGGAGGTTGGAGGCCGAGTGGAGTCGAGTGGAGTGGAACGTAAGCGGAACGCCACAGAAATAGTACAGACTGCGTCGACCGTCGTTCGACGTGCTATTACGCAAGCGGTCGCTCGGTCTGGGCTTGGTTCAGGTGTATGCGGGGATTCCTCGTGGCGCCGCTCGTCTGGCGCACTATTCGCCACACACACGCGTCAATCGGGCATGTTCGTGAACTAGCCGATGACAGACGCGAGTTCTGGCACACTCGAGAAACCTCCTACGGCATCCGGAGAATTCGTCGAGTACGACTCGACCAAGGTAATTGATCGATTTATAATGGGCCGTGCCGGAATTGTATTGGAGAAACGTGGACAGCCAACGATTATCTGGTTTGAAGGAAATTAATACCTTTTCACCTGTTCGTGTGCCATTCGAATCACGTCGCTCCGTTTATAACATTGAATCATCGTATTCAATGAATGAAAACTTGCTATTTCTTTTTCCTTACGGTTGCACTTCACTCGAAATACATTTCTTTATTTCTCATGACGCATCATGCATTTGAAATTCAATTAATGACTATTTAGAGGGAACAGAGGAACTTTTAAGTGTTTATTTTTTCTTTCCTTCCTTCTTATGGATAGAAATATTATTAGTGGCCACCGGTAAGTTATCAAAGTATCAATGAGATAAAATTTACGGAATTTACACGATAAATTTACGGAAAAGCACGCTAATAAATAAATACTTTGCTCTAAAAATTTATTCCAAAGAATTGTTCCTATTGTACAAAAATAACTTTTCTCTTGGAACAAATGTTAAACAAATTTTAGTAACAGATATAATCAGTAACAGATATATAAGTTTAGGGAAACTCGTAATACCTTCTATATTCCACCACGTTATTAAATCATAAACGAGTTTTCAGACATAAAACAAGTCTCATCAATATGGATACACTATGGATTTTGTATTTTTAATTAAATTTAGCTTAAAAGTATTACCGATACATTGAAATGTCAATAAAATTTTAATGTTGTTAATACTTATGAAAAAGTTATCGATTCGAAGAGTCGATTCAAAATATACGATTTATTCAGAACTTTCCAATCGACATTCGTCCAAATGCTCGATAAATCGGTCTCAAAATAATATTGTTCAAAAATTTGTCGATTATTGGTAAATTAAAGAATTATAATAAATATATATACCTACACAATATCTCAGTTTTTTCTCACCAAACGATGCTAGCATGTTCTACGGATAAAAGTACGAGACTAACGTTATACAATATAAATATAAGCACACAAACATTCCGTTAAAAAAAGTACGACAAAAATACGAAAAAGCAACTGACAGATATTTCGTTCGAAGTTTTAAAGCGGTAGTTTAGCGAAGGTTGACCTCAATAATGCAAAAGCCAAGAAGGATCGGTTCTTTGTGCCTGAGATCACCAAGTACTATGCTATTGGACGTTTAATGTTTAACTGTATGAAACTTTAAAGAAAAATATTTTATAAATAAATATTAACACGCGAAGAAATAAGTATGAAGAAATGAAGAAAAATCAGCAAGAAACTTTCATTAACGACACCAAGGTATACACTGCTAATTTGTTTTCCACGCTGTATCGAACGGAGAACCAATTCATTATTTCATATTCGCATTATAACATTTTAATAGACTACAAATTTATAAACATATTTAAACATCTTTACTTACTTTCGCTGGTATGCGATGGAATCGTACGATGAGAGCACACGTATATGAAATAAATAGAAGGAACGATAGCGTACTGCATACATTGTATAGTAAAAGGAGAAATTCATCAATGATTAATGAAATTATTTACTATAGATACTTCACTTCAAGCACCCATTCCTACCAATGAAAGGTTGATATTGATGGAGAATTGAATTTACTACTACATAAATTTTGAAGTCATTATGTTTTCTTTTATGTTTTATAGTGTTGTTATAATTTGTTAATGCAATTTTGAACAGATCGAGTTCATATAATGTTTCTTTTTTGTCCCCATTCGTAGACAATAACGATAAAATGTAGGACAGAAACCTGAAATATTTTATATCAGAAAAACTTCGTACACAAATTATGATTATTCTCCAAAATTGAGAATTACTTAACAGTGATTTTTCCACATACCTTTTTATTTAATTTATGAATTGTGACAAGCTTCAGGTATGACGGAGGACATGCTACACAAGCGGCCAGACGAATAAGTAACTATATGTCATTTTATCAGAATTCGTTTAAAAACCATCTGCAGGAGACTGAGAAAGTACTCAGGGGACTGAGATCTCAACAAAAATCTCATATAACCAACTGTATTTAAAACTTTTTACTTGAACAAACAAGATAATTTAATATTAGTTTTAGATAGCTCAAGGATTATTTACAAAATTTAAACATCCAACATCAACAGTAATTTGTAATTATCTAGTTTATAAACGAATTAACTAACCACTCTTGATAATTGTTACCGAAACTTGAAAATAAAGACAGAAATAATTAAATTTTAACAACAATCAATTCTTATTAATTATAACTGAACTAGCTAGCAATCTTGACAATTGCCAATTAAACTTAGATACAAAAATCATTGGATTTTTAAAACTAATGAATATTTATTCCTTATGTAAACAAGCTCATCAGCTTGTCAATCTTGCTTTCTTTATTATGAACTAAAATAAATAAATTGTAGACTTTATTTTCTAACGTTCAAGACTACATTACAATTTCACCTAAACAATGAAAGACATTCTATAAGTATCTATGTAATATAAATACAATCAACACACAGTTCCTATCATATTGCACGACAGAGGACTGAGATCAGGGAATTAAATGTTAAAATTTCTCAAGCGAATTATTATACAGTTCTGATATTAAACAGAAAGTTGAATGCCAATGTTATATTTACGTTACATTAAATAAAACTTAGCAAAGATGATAAATTTAGAATATAATACGAACCAGCGGACTGAAAAGCTGATTGACTGAAATAGGCGATTGTCAGCGATTCTACAATTTTAGCTAATCAAAAATGATCACTTGTTACAAAACGTAAGAGATGCACCAAATTCACCCGATTATTTTTTACTTACTTCAACGTGACTTCTTTCTTAGTACCCGTTTTTTTAGAAATAATTTCACAGATAGGGGACCGAAATGTAAAAGTGGTGACAAAGATTGTAAATGTTTTTTTGTCAATAAAGTGAACTCGATTAAGGTAAGATAAATAGGACTACTGTAAAGTATATATAAAAAGGAAAATTAGTAAATAACTTCAAATTCATTTACTGACAACGAGCACGGATTGTAAAGAAAAATGTATAGTTATGACATGGCAGAGGACTGAGAATTTCACGTATAAAAGGTAAATTTTTTGATATAAACAAATTAAATTGATAGTTTTCCATAATTTGTCGACCAAATTACAAGTTACAAACTTTCTCCGTCGTGCAAATATGATACAATTTAACTTTTTTAATAGTTTTTAACATACCATATATGTACAGCATCTAATTTAAGTTACTACATGTGTATTGAAAAATCTGCATTTTCAGTTATGTAAAAGAAATATATATTTATGTATTTCATGCTAGCGCATTAATTTCTTCTGTTCCTTGAGCGAAGATTTTTGGAAAATATTTGATTTTGAGTTTGTTCTTAAGTACAGTATACAACACTACCATGGTTTCAACATTCTACTTTATCACGCATTTTTATATAGGCAATATAAAACAAATGCTTTTGACTTATTTTATGAATTTATTTAATATATAATATACTATATTTTTAAAAAAATATACTTTGATGTTATTATATTATTAATTATAACCAAATATGCATTATTACGAAATCTTCAACAA